TGAGTCAATAGATGTCTCCTACAAAGAAGGATTAAGTAATGTTTGGTCTGGGGCTTAGCATTTGAGTTGGGAGCAGTGATAAGCAGAATCATGAAGGTAGGATGTTTCTTCCTGGGTAGAGGCAAGACCCATACTTTTAGTTTTCTGGCAGATCATAATGTAAAAGTAATGTTGCAGTTGGCCAATAAAGGGCATGAATGCCAGGCTATAAATTTGGACTTCTTTTTTGGAGATAGTAGATTCATGGGCAGATATTCAGGAAATGAATGATGTAGTAAGGAACATACTTGATGGAAATAGAAAGGTATAGCTGGAAAAGTAGTTTAAAGAGAAAATTGGGGCATGTTATGGGTTGAATTGTGTTCTCCCAAAATGCATATGTTGAAGCCCTGGCCTTTATAGTACCTTAGAATGTGACTATGTTTGGAGATAGGGCCAATAAAGAGGAGCTTATGTTGAAATAAGGCTATTAGGGTAGACCCTAATACATTTTGACCAGTGTCCTTATAATTAGAGGAAATTTGGAATCACAAAAAATGTATACCAAAGGTACACACACAGAGAGGAAAGACCATGTGAGGACACAGCAAGAAGGCAGCTATCTACAAGACGAAGAAAGAAGAGGAAACCAAACCTGTCCACACCTTGATCTTGGACTTCCAGGTCCAGAAATATGAGAGAATACATTATTGTTGTTTAAGTCACTTTGTCTATGGTACTTTGTTATAACCCTCCTTGCAAACTGACATAGGGAGTGATTTCAAAATGTCTGGTATCGCACTACTGAAAGTGGAGAGAAGTTATTTTAGAGATAAAATCTACCAGACATGACAACAGATCCAATGCTAGGCATACGGGAGACGCAGAAGCAACCCTCTGTTAAACATCCTTTAAAATTAAATTACAAAGCAAACTCCCACATATTGTTTGGTTGATAATTCTTAGCATAAGTATGCAAAATCTGGAATGAAGCACCATGTGGCTATGCCAGTCTATTACATCTCTTAGCATATATGGAAGTTTGTCGATTTTTAATTGTGCTTAAAGGCAGGAGAGAGCCATAAAAGGCAACTTCATGTTCATGGTACTATGTTCACCTCCCTTGAATAGTAGGTTATGCCAACGCCTGGAAACGAAAGCAAGCTGAGTAGCTTTACAAAGGCTCGGGGTTTCTCCTCCAGCTGCAGTTTGATAGCAGCATTGGGAAATTAAAACTTTTTAGCTCTCCCTAAGCAGTTTTCTTACAGATGGTACTGGGAGTTGATTGTTGTATGTGTGTTGTATATGATGGTGGTTCTGGCCAAGAAGAAAAAGCTCATAAGGCCATATACTCTCACATTCAATTTCCTAAAGCAAAAAAAAATAATAATAATAAAGAAAAATCAAATTAAGATAAGAATATTAATAGGTAACTGCAGTCTTTTAAAAATACAGGTTTGAATATCGCATTTTAAGTGATTTCTTTGGGGTTTACTTACTTCATATATGCTCTATAAATCATGTAGGCATTTATTACTACTGTAAAATGGAATTTGTACAACTGACTATATTTACTTATAGGTATGAAGTATACATTTTTTGTAATATATAGACTGTTTCATAATATAGGAAACATAAAAATGACATAAGGCATATAATTAAAGAAGACTTTCAAAAACTGTGATTTCTTCTATTGCAGATCTTTTTATTTTTGTGGAGGGATTACTGTATAATGCAGTAAAACACTGTGCATACATTTCATTTTACTCGGATATACTAGCCAACTTCTCTGCTGAAAGTCTCATTGCAAATATTTTTGTGCACAAGAAGATAGGCTTTGGATTTCTGGTTTACATTTACTCTATAATAATTAATGCCAGGTTGGCAGATTCATAAATATTTACTCTGAGTAGGAGTTCCAAAGTGGCCATTTCCCCCTTGAACAATGTTCTCTAACTATTAAGCTACTAAAAAAAAAATCTATATAAAAGGGATTCTGGAAAAACAATTATGAATCAAACTAATTTTGGTTGAGAGACCTGTAGCAATGATTTCTATTAGTTTTCTAATAGTGTTGATAAGAATCTACTCGTGTCATGCTTTCAGTTTATGCTTTCAAATAATTTTCATGTATCATTAAAGTTTTGCATTTACTCCTGTGAAATAAGATATGCATGAAACATTTCCTATGGATAGGGAAAAATATGATTTTGCAAATTACCTATTCATGGATTATTTTAAAAATTGAAAAAGACAAGACATAATAGCATTGACTTGGCACTGCATTTTTGCTCAAATATCAAGTTTAGAAAGTTTTAAAAGAATGCTGAAAATGTAACATTTAAGAACATTATTTTGCATTGGATTTTTCAATTGCTGATACATCTAGAATTCCTAAAAATCGCTTATTTATATTATTTTTCACACATTGAATATTAAACTTGAATATAAAGTAAGAAATGGATGTTATTTTAGAGTATCACATTGAGCATGTTTCTCCTCCCTTCCATAGTAATCTATTGTATCGTATGTATTTTCAGAGTGTATGCAACTGAATGACTTCCTCAGTGATTTCTTTTAAACAATTAGTTAAAAAATACATGCTACTTTTCTGTTATGTGACCTTATTTTCATTCCTTTTTTGCTTAAATAATATTTAAGACATAGACTTGTGCTTCTAGAATTAAGATATAATTATACTGTAATCTGTGACAACCCAGGCCCTTTATTTATAACAGTCTGGCAGTTGCTGGAATGTATTCTATGTCATGCATCAGATAATTATGATTTTTAGGGGCCATGAATGAGATATACACTGACTACTAATTCTTAGTATAACCATATTTAATTACCAAAATCTAGTTTCAGAGGGCAAAGTATGAAAAATTAATTTTAAAAAATATAATCTGTGAATGAGCAAAGAGCATTTTCACTTGCAAGAAAAAACAGTATCAAAGGCCATGAATACACGACCAGCCTGAGCAAGAGTGAGACCCTATCTCTACCAAAAATAGAACCAGATGCAGTGGTGTGTGCTATAGTCCCAGCTACTCAGGAGGCTGAGGCAGGAGGATCGCTTGAACCCAGGGGTTTGAGGTTGCAGTGAACTATGATGATGCCACTGTACCCTAACCCAGGTGGCAAGAGCAAGAATTTCTGATTAAGGTTCCCAGAACTCTTTGAGGGCTACCAGATAAAAGTCAACTTTGAGAAGACATTTAACCAGATCGTAGCTTATTCCTATTTAATTAAAGATGCATAGTGATACATTCATGCTATTTTCAAGCTGAGGGCTTTAATAACCTACTGGAGGAAACAGAAATCACATGTACCTCCTTAAATACAAAACACAATGATACTTAGACATGAAACAAAATTCAATTAGTTCAATTTTTGCAAGTTTTTTGAGAAGACTCATGATCCTTTCATCAGAAAATTGATTTCCCTAAACAAATAGGTTTTCTTGGATTACTAAAAATGGCCACGTTTAATGAATTGGAATGAATTTACATGTGCTGGGACTGCCAGAATGGAGGGAAATGGCTAACAAATCTGTATTCACTAGGAATTGTATTTGATAGTAGGCAAGAAAAAAATATAACATTTTCATGTTAGAATAATATCTAAAACACGTCAAGTGTTCATTTGTCTCAGGCAACATGAAGTCTGGAAGTAAGCATACAGAATTGGCACAGTTAATCAGTGATGTCACTGGGGACAGGGATACCTTCTGTCTTTCCACACTGGTATCTTAGTTTACAGGTTTTAAACTCATGGTTTCAGTAAGCATGTTGCACATCCATAACTCACACCTGTGTTTCAGCCGGAAATAAGGTGGTAGGACTTATGCTAGCCAAGTTCTCTCTCTCTCTCTTTCTCTCTCTCTGTCTTTCTGTTAGTAAGCTTATTTGACAAATAACATACATGCCAATTCTAAGTACACAAATAGTTGAATGCCCATAGTTTGAATACACCTGTGTAACCAACACCCAGGTTAAGAATTGAAACCATACCCGTACTAGGAAGTCCCCATGCCACTCCAGACAAAGATAACCACTATCTTGGCTTCTAAACACCCCAGGTTAGTTTTTACCACTTTTGAACTTTATATAAATGGAATTATACATTTAGTATTCTTTTGTGGCTGAAATATTTCACTAAATTTTGCATTTGTAGTATTTATCCTTTTAATTGGCATAGTTGTATCTTGTTCATTCTCATTGTAATACAGGATTCTATTTTGTGATTATTCATAATTTATACATTTCTCTGTTGATGGATGTTTGGGCTGTTTCCTATACTGGACTGCAAATTGTGCTATAAATATGCTTGTGTGTTTTTGTTTTGGAGCACACATGTATTCATATCCATTGGGAATGGAAAATTCATAGGATGTGCTAAACATAAGTAGATGCAGCCAATTTTCCAAAGAAGCTTTATGAATTTAAAGTCCCACAAGTAGTGTCTTAGAGTTTCCATTACTCCACAGGCTGCCAACACCTGCTGTGAAGAGTCTTTTTCATGTTAAATGTTGTGGCAGTTGTGAAATCATCTCTTAGAAGCCCCTTTAGAAAATTCTGCTTAAGACCACTGGCCAGAGCAATGTCACAAAGTCACTCCTAGCTGTGCAAGAGATTAGCATTTCTGCTTCCATGATGGGAGAAAGAAGAGGAGAGTTTGAGCTGTGATAGATAGTCAATCCTCAGAGACTCTGGAGAGGGAAGAGTCTGAGAAATGGACCACAGGGTCACCACTGGAGTGTGAAATGATGGAGACGCTGAGTACTATGTCATTTTGCTTCCTCGTGAGAGAATGTTTAGATCTTTTCTATGTAATAGAAACATTGAGATAGCATTAAGTACGTGAAAGAACAGTCATATACAAAGATGCTAGATTCTTACTTGTATGTATTGCTTGATTGCAATTATAGTTGGCCCTGGCACAGCACAGGTTTGAACTGCATGGATCCACTTATTTCTGGATTTTTCTCTACCATCTCTGAGATAACAAGACCAACCCCTCTTCTTCCTCCTCTTCAGCCCATTCAGCATGAAAACAACAAGGATGAAGACCTTATCATGATCCACTTCCACCTAAGGTATAGTATATTTCCTCTTCCTTATAATTTCCATAGTAACATTTTCTTTTCTCTAGTTACTTTGTTGTAACAATATTATATATAATAGATATAACATGCAAAATATGTGCTGATTGACTATGTTATTGGTCAGGCTGCTAGTCAATAGGAGGCTATCAGTAGTTAAGATTTTATGAAATCAAAAGTTATACATAGACTTTTGACTGTGCAGGAGGTGGGCAGTCCTAACTCCAATGTTGTTCAAGGGTCAATTGCATATATAATTGACACATATGCATATGTGTTTAAACTGAGGACTACAGTTAAATATATACATATTATACATATTTGGTATATACACATATATATTTAGCATCTTGTTATTTGTATTTTTATGTGTATGTCAGTGTATATGTTTTTTTATATTTTCTGATTTGTTTAATGAATGTACATTACTGTTAAAATTAAGAAATACCACATAGTATAAGATAAAATATACTTAAGTGATCAGAATAGCTTATGCCACATAAATTGTAATTTAGTATTTTCATGAAAGATGAAGATGAAAAGAAATCCACATGTTAATATTTTTAATTCGATGTGCATAGCAGAGCCTGCTATGTACTCAGCCACAATATTTTCTTAACTATATTAATGCTGTTTTAAATTATAAACAAGAGTTAAGCAAAAGAAAACAAATATAAATTCAACACACATGTTCCTAACTGTATGAAGAGTGGCATTTGTTGAGTGGGTTATATTCAATGAGAAATAAAAAAAAGTATGTTAGATTTCTCTGCATTGTCTAGACATCCAAAGGAGACAGGGGTGAAGGGGAAAGTGATTGTGGATGGCAAATTAAATGTAGATTTTCATTCCATGCTGCCAGAAAAGAATGTCTGTGCTGTTTGGGGTTGAAAAGGCATCATGTCATGAACCAAGAAAAGGTAATTGTCTCCCTCTCTCCACTATTGAGCAGACTGTTCCTTGAATATCATATTTATTTTGGAAAATAATAATATTAAAAACCTGAAATTATTGCATTTTTAGAAAAGAACAAAAAAATAAAATAAAATAAGAAGAAATAAAGCCTTGGCTGAGAATGCAAAGTCAAATGAACTAAATGTATACAAATAAATTAGTAGTATCATCATTGAAGAAAGAAAAAACCTACAAATGATGAAGCAAAAAAATTTTGGATATAGAAAAATTTGATGAAAATGTTGACAAGAATAGTCTATGTCAATTGTGAAAGTAGTGTTTAGAAATTTTAGGAAAGCTACTAATCATGAATTTTATTGGCCAATATGCTGGTTTCCATTTGTGATTTGTTTATTTATTGATCGTTAATCCACTTACATTGAACTAAATTGGGTGAAAAGATTATATCTGTTCAGCACATTAATGGAAGGACTTAAAAAATGTCCTTTGGTTTTCCTAACACTTATAAATAACAAATAAAATTGACACTCCTTTGCTGTCAAAATGCCAATGGAATAAAATGCTAGGAATTAAATTATTGTTGTCCTAAATTCATAATTGTCAATATTTTTATAATAAAAGCAGTGACCAAATTCCTGCAGGTGCTGTTTTCAAAATATATCAAAGGCACAATGCCTGCCGTTCTGAAGGTTACATGCTAAATAAGTGAAAACACACTTAATGAATGTAGATGAAGTTCAAAAAATGTATACATATAAGAATGTGCTTCTCTGATCTCAAACTGTAGAGATTTTAACTGACTAGGGGCTTGAGTAGCTGGAAAATCCATCCCCATGTTTGTGCGGAGGTATCCAGTCACCTGGGCGGCTCCCAGTAATGACAGACCAGACCCTTTCTTGGGAGATTCAGGAATCCTCTAATGATTCCCTTTAGCTCAAGGAGTCTTTCCAAGACCACATACCATTGACAAGGCTTCCATCCAACCTTTCTTCTTTCCTTTTTATAAATTAGCATCAGACTACTTGCATCACATTTTGTGTGTTTTCCCAGCCTTTCTCTGTTCTCTTTGTATTTTCTGTCTTGAATGTTTCCCTAAATCTTTGCCGATTTAATTCTGTTCTTATATCTGCCTCACGGAGGACCTGGACTAATAAAATTACCATTCTTAATTCTAATATTTAGCATAGTTGTATTCAGATAGCACCGAGGTGGGATGATTAATATTTTGAGCAATTAGCCATTTTATATTCAAAAAAAATTTTTTTTTTAATTTATAGAAATTAGATCAGGATGGCCAATTGAGCACACCATTATCTAACCCCAGTCAAAAATTTAAAAATCAGAGGAAATAAAAAGATACATTAAGAATGTTGGGGGAAAAAAGAGGAATTTGTTAGGGAGAGAAATTAGATAAGACTAAATTGACAAGTTTTGAGAAAAACAGAGATTAAAGGTTATGAGAGGGATAGTATTTGACAGAATAAAGATATTTAAGAGAAGTTTGGAAAGAATAATTTCTTAAAAAGTAGAAAAATTAGTTTATATATGCATGTTAAAAGTCAGTGTGCATACTAAAAGAAAAGCTATATAAAAAGAGCATTTATGAACAAATTAAACAGAAAAAAATCAGTATTTTATTTTAATAAAAGGTACAAAAAAGTATAATACCATTTCTGTAGAACAAAAGAACATCATGACAAAGTTTTAAAAAAATAATGATCTGGGAGAGAATATCTGTAGATGACTAATATGAAGAATATGCAAAGAGATTTTACATATCAATAGAGGAATATCAACAAAGGGCAAAATAGATGAAATTTAGGAATTATCAGATTAAATAAGAAATATAACTACACAATAAGCATATTAAAAATGCTTAACCTCGCTAATTACCAGGGAAATGGAAGTTAAAATAACAATTTGGCAGTATGTCAAAATTAGAAATTGGAAGATATTGTGATTATGCAACTTAGCTTCTGAGTATCTATTCTAGAAAAATATTTGTCTTTGGGCATGGGGCAAAACTGGTTTTTAGCCAGTATATCCTATGATATTACAATATTTTTATGGCTAGCTAATCATGAGTTGTAAGGCAATACCCAAATTATTCCGAATGTTAAATATTTTGAATATCAAACTTGGTACAAAGTTATTTACAAATATGTTCACAAAAGTATTGCTTTTAATAATGATAAACCCCAAAATAACCCAAGTATACCTCATTAAGGTAAGGAACTAATAGATGATGCATATTCATATGAGAAAGAGCTGTAATACAGTTGAAATAAATGAACCAAATCAGCATGTGATAACAAAAATAAATCTTAAAGCCCGATATTGAGTTTTCAAAAACAATTTCAAAATGATATTTACAACTTGATTTTATTTGAAGTGCTGAATCGTAGGATGCAATTTTATTTTAATAAATAGTAATATATAAAATAATAATGTAAAAAGCAGTCTGGATGAATACATATCAGTTTCAGAGCAGTAGCCATGTTTGGTGAAAGATTCCTTGGGCTTGAACTTTCCATACAGTGTTTTTAGTGTTTTGTTTCTTAAAGAAGAGCATTGCAGGTATTATGATAAAATTTCTCTTAAATTCTATGTCATTTTCATGTGTTTGAAATATTTCATAACTTAGAAAAAAATAACCAAGAAAGAAGAAGGATTCATACTTTTTAGTAGAATACTCTTTTCAAAACTTGGTCCAAAAAATAAAAAATAAAAAAAAAAAAGCCTTGGTCCAATAAACATTTTAAAATTGAAAATATTGATAGTACTCTCTATGGATTCTATTTTTTGGAATTTATGTGGATAACAACCACTGAAAACAGATCCTCCTACATCATAGTGTTTCTTTCACCCTTTTATAAAGTGAAATGAAATTCCTATTAATCATTTCAAGTGCATTCAGAAAATACCTGTTGAGTCTTTCAGTGTCTTCTGTTTGGAAATAGGAGTCTTTTGAAGTTACTGACATAAAAATTGTAACGCAAATTGTAACAGTAGGTTTAAAGTCTTGCTAAAGATATTTCTTTTGTAATAAAGTTTCTTAGTCCTGTCATAATATGGATATTTTTTCCATTGAAGGTGTTGGCAAGAACTGATTGAGAAACAATAGAGCAGTGGTAAATAAAGCTCTGGTCTGAGAATTACAGACAAGTAAGAATTATTGTATGTTGAAATTTATTTTAAAGTGAAAATAATATTCCCTGTATTTCTTTAAATCTTACACGAATGTCTTGCTAAGATATTCAAAACAAAATTAAGTGTATACAAACATAAATTTTACTGAGCATCTACATTTGCATATTAAACTGAAAAGAATATTTGTTCTGGAGTAAGATGAAAGAAAAACTAAATATCTAGGCATAGATTAGGGCCTTCTCTAGGAAGTCAAATGAATAATAAATGATTAATTTAATTATTGATATATGCTTTATTTCTCTTTGCATAGGATATATTAATAACTTTTGAACATTTAAAATATTAGTTTGGTATAAAAAACTTGATTATATCTACTTTGACAGTTATTGACTTCACTGTAGCTAATTTGAAGTCATTATAGTCTTTGCTACCCTAAATGCCTTTTCCGAAATCAGGTGTGTATCTAAGATACATAAAGGAACCCAGTTTTAGACTTCTGAGATTCCAACTATATTTTTTCTTTTTATTTCTTTTTCCTTGCATTTCAAACTGAAAACCATCTAAGAGAGATATATGCACACATATAAATACATATATCTCTTTTTTTTCTTAGTCAAAATAGATTTGCTTAAATGTAGAGATTTATTCTATTTTCTATTTAAGATTATCACTCCTCTATGCTGCCATAATATTTTGGGTGCTTCCAAGATAGCATTTTTCAAATTGAATTATAATTATGCATTTGTCTCTCCTGCTGGACTATAGGGTTTTTTTTTCTTTATTATCAAAAGTTTATTGTTGGAGTCAGTTCCTATCTACTAGGGAGTACAACTATGTCTCAATACGTGCTATAGTAATTCTAGGGTAACAGCCAATTCTGCAAAATAGTTGTACTGGGGCTCTGTTAGGCATTGATCATAATTAAGTCAGTGGAAGAATGAGCCCTGAAAAACCTTGACAGTAGAGCCATGACTCTAGGAAAGTTTCAGTGCTACCCAGCCAGTAAGGCATCTACTCTCAGCTGATGATGAGGCTCACGGAGGTGTTGGTGGAATGAAACAGGAGTTGAACCCATTTTCTATTCTTCTTGGCAGGATGACTATGGCTCCAAGGCAGGAACCGAAAATTATATCTGCTCAGATAGGGAACACAGGTGAGATGCCCCTTTGTTCAGAGGTGCCATCAAGGGTGACTGTGGACAACCAGGGTGAGAAGGCTGTCTTGGTCCAGATGCCAGGCAGGGAAAAACTGAAAATCACAGTGATGCTTGGTGCCTTAGCTGATGGGAGGAAACTACCTCTGCACATTTTTCTGAGGGGAACGTATATATCCCCCCAGGGAAGTTCCCCAACGGGATGGGAATCCGCTGCCACTGGTAAGGATGGATGACTGAGGACTTGATGCAAGACTGGCTGGAAGCAGTGTGGAGGTGCAGGCCAGGAGAGGTGCCCAAGCAGCGAGGGGTGCCCATCTTGGACGGCTTCCCAGGCCATGCCACCACTTCTGTGAAGAGCTCCATGGAAAGCATGAACAACACCGGCAGGGTGATCATCCTGGGGGACCTGACCTCCCAGCTACAGGTGCTGGATGTGGTGGTCTGCAAGCCACTGAATGACAGCATGAAGGTTCAGTACACCAATTGGCTTCTGGCCAGGAACCTGGCACTGAGCCCAACCGGGAATGCCAAGAAGCCACCCCTGGGCTTCTTTCTGGAGTGGGTCATGGTCGCATAGAATAACATCCCCAAGTGAATCCATTGTCCAGGGGTTCAAAAAGTGCCACATCTCCAGCAACTTGGAGGAGGAAGATGATGTCTTGTGGGAAATCAAAAGACTATAGGTTTTTTTGTTGTTTGTCTGTTTGTTTGTTTGTTTGTGCTTTTATAACAGTAGTAGCTTTATTGCAAACAATTATCCTCCCCTGGACAAAAAGAAGAAAAGTGCTACAACACCTCTTTCTCCAAGAAAATGCAAGAGAGTAAATCCTCTTTTGGAAAATAATCTTCATCTCACCATGTTTCAGTTTTGATCTGTTTAGAATTTTTGTTTATCAGTTTTTTAAGAACAGGAGCCATATCTTGCATTTTTGTGTGTGTCTAGTGGAATTTAATAAACTGAGCCTCACGCTACAGAATACTCAATGAATATTTGTGAAGACAGTGAAAGAATCCATATTCCTTTTCTAGAATAAATAGAAGCCATGCATATTATATCACTGGTATGTTTTAGCACATTTTCCCTGCCTCTTTCTACTTCTGTTGTTATAGCAGAATTTTTCTAAGAACCCTTTTGTTCCCTTTTCTTTCCCCCTTTGAATAATTAAAACTTGTCCGAAATATAAGAGAAAATAATATGGTCAAATATATTTATATGATATTAATTAATTCACTAAGAACTTATTGATCACCAGGCTTTGAGACTAGACAATGGAAATACAAGGATGTAGAGAAAACCATTCAGAACAGAACAGAAAAGCTATGTTACTAAGGTGTCACATTAGTATAGAATAATATGTAATTGATTCTGGAAATGACTTTGGTTTATTAAAAATAATTGGTATTTTTCATTTGCCAATTGGCAGTTTTAAATATCTTAAATCTGATGAGGCTAGCCTGAAATGTTTACTAAATATATCTCCATAAAATAGTCCTATTTCCCCCTTTCCATTGAGGTGTGCAGACCACAAAGTCTGTCTTTCCTGTGTTCTCTGATTTGGCTATTCAACTTCTGGTCCCAGCTGGAACTGAGAACTTTATGTTTGTTCAAAAATGAGTAATGAATTTTTAAGTTTCCTTTGCCTCAGATTGTTTTGGAATAACGGCTTGAGTTGGTTCTTCTATTATTCAGTCCAAATTTGTCTTCTATCACGCAGGTTGGCCTCTATATTTCAGTTCAAAAATCATCTTATGTTTACAAGCTCATCACTACGGCTTTTGTTTGTTTGTTTGTTTGTTTGCTTGCTTGCTTTGCTTTCTGAGAAATTACTTGCTTTGGAAATAATAACAGTTCGGTTCAGAAACTGCAACCGCCAAATGTCCTATTCTGCTTTTTCTGTTTTCCTAAATCTTTAGGTGAAGGAGCTTGCCAAATTGTCAGATTGCTTTGTTGTTTTCCTGGGATGCGGTTGCCAATTTTAAATATTCATTGCTGAAAAAGTGGGATTTTGTGCAATGTCTACCTAGTATTGGGTGACAAGAGATTCCTGTTTCTTTCATTCGATTTCTATTCTTTTTTTTTAACTTATTAAACGATTTGGCACACTTTGGAAAATCTCATTGTCTTTTGACTAAAGGTATTTATTATCATGGTATGTGAAGAAATTATTATGTAAAATAGGCTTAACGCCACTGTGGAATGCTGAGAACAGCCCCTTTATCAATGCAGCAGGGTGGCTCTATTTCCATCAGTTAGGTACCTATTTTTCTCCCAGTTTCTCACAGCATATTTGCATTGCTATTTTATATTTACTCACAGAGTGCAGCGAGATCAGGAAGACAGGACACTCTAAGATTCCATTCCCCTTGGGTGCTTCCACTCCCAAGAAGGAGTATTGGTGATTTTAATGATATTGCCACTGTTCCTCTCCACTCCTCTCTCTGCTTTAATTTCCCTCCCCTGCTGCTCTGCATATTGAACAATAATGAATGTTTTCTAAGCTCCCACTGTCCTCTCACCTACTGGCACTCTCAACAAAAATGGAAAAGTTTTTTTGAAGCCCATTTCTTTTTATATTGAGTTCTACCAAAATCCACTCAATCGCATATGGATGTCCAATGATATTTATACATTTTTTTTTGCTTTCGAAAGGGTGGATTCAGTAAAAGAGTGATCATTTAAAATGAGCATTTGCTGCAGTACTGCAGAAGGGGTTCAGCGTCCTTCTGTTTATGTGAATTAAAATGATTTATAAATATTTTGAAATGCATAACTCTCTGTTTGGCTCATAAAGATTGACTGCAAAGGAGCAGGAAAAGACCTTTCTGGAGTGAAAGGAATATTCTACACTTGATCAGGAGGGTGATTACATAGCTGTAGATCACTTGTCATATATATTTGTAAAAGTCACCAAAGTCTATAGGTTAAGATCTGCAAATGTCAAGTGAGAATTTATCATGCACCAGGTACTGTGTTCAAATTAGTTTTAAAAAAAGGAGGCTTGGGGGTGGAACACAGATATTAGTGCTAGACAAGTAGATATGTAATTAAAATTTGATAAGTGGTTTGAAGACAGGATATTATCAGAGAAAATATGTTATAAATTATCTTTCAATATCATTACATGTGAATCACAGCCAAAATACGAAAAAGCTATGATCCACAGCTCGATTTTATCTATAAATATGACAGTGTATATATGTTCATTACTAGGGTTGGCAAGTGTGTAGAATTGAAGGGTAATATAAGATCTTTTTGCATGTAAGTTTTGGCTCTGCCAAAATTCACTCAACTGCATATGGATTTCCAATTATATTGGTATATTTTCCATGAAAAGTTAGATTTCAGTGGGAAATTATTTATTCAAATTTAAACATATGGAGGGAACTGTGGGAAAAGAAAGAAAAATTGAAGTTATGTATTTTTCAATGTATTTCAACAGTCTTTTTTTTTTAAGAAAAAGAAAAGAAAGAAAAATATTACTGATAAGTATTTGAATGATCTGATGGAAAATTACTAACCTGAGAAGCTACAGAAGCCAATACAAAAGAAGACATTTATTAAAGTATAATATTCGGCTCTGCAGAGAACATAATTAGTTACAATAATATAAATTTGTGAAAATTCACACAAGGAGTGAAAATTGTTATTGGTAAACATTTAGAAATTTATAAATCGTGAATTAGCAGCATAAGTATATTTAGAATGTGAAGGTACATATAACACTTCTTTGTATTTCAACTATTTGCATATGCGTATTTGGTAAAAATAAAATTATAAATGAAGAGAAAAGAATGTATCTTTACAAAAGTATTCTTAACAATAGAGCTTCAAGGTTTTACATTACTCAGTACATCACAGGAATTCCTGAAATGTATCCTTACATCTCTTTTTTTCTCCTTAAGCAGTCTGTACCCACTCTACCATCCCATTTTATCCACAGTCCTCATTCACTGGGGCAGAGCTATATTCCTTCATAAGCATCGTTGGATGCTCTCTTCTCATGGAAAAAGATTTCAAGGTATGTTCACGACAGACAGAATCCTTCTTTATGATAACTGGGAAAGGTTCATACAGTTATATTCATATTGCCATAAAAGCTAAGGAAAAACCATATATCAAAAAAGAAAAAGACACTAGAGCTTATAGTAGATGTTTTAATGCAGCAGAATATCAATTATATATTTTTGTGCTACCTTTTCTGAATATATTATATCTAAAAAATAGCTTTGTTTATTAGAATCAATAAAGAAATAAACACTCTTTAGTGGATTCCTTGATCCCTCAAATAGTCATTGGGTATAGACATGCAATTCCAATTTATCCCCACTCATAATCATTATTGGAGTCTCATCCACTATACTTTGATTTCTGTTTAATCATCTATTTTGGGACATGTGTTTATTTCCATCTTTAGACCCCAACCCAGACTATAAGTAGTGCTGCCAGTGATCTTTCTTCCCTGCCATCTGGCTCCATCTCAGATGACTGCTAAGTTTTCTCTGTCCTTCAAAGTGGGAAGGTAAGTTCTCTCAGCAAACTTGGTTTTGGTTTTGCTGCAACCAAATATAATCAGTGCAAGAACGAGGTGGTGTTTTGTTTCACAAAAGATTTCCAAGGCTTTATGCTATCTTATATTTAAGTATGTTCATAATGTTTGTTATTGGTGGCAAGTATAATACAAAAAAGAATTTAAAAAACAAAAACATTTCTAAAAGGTGTCCTTTAATAGATATAGGTATTTGAGACTGTGATAAATCTAATTTATTGTGGATTTGAAACTTTCTTCTGGGTGCCTCTCTGGTAGCTCATTATTTTAGCAAGCTTTCCCTCTTGCATGCTGAGAAAATATTATTCTCGTCCTCATTGACTCTAAAGTTTAGGCTGCAAACTTGATTCATCTGCATCTACTTTTAAATCAGCTTGAATATGAGATTGTGGTATTCTAGAAATATTAAAATCATCTAAGAAATAAACTGGTCTGAATTCTACCTTTCTTTTAGGAAAATGAGATATTGGCTTAATACCAAATAAGGTGTCAAAATAAAAGCAAGCTTTTATTTTCGGGTGGTTATGTTTTTAATCACCTTTCATTCAGATAGCATGCATGTCAACTGCGCTGTGGATGAATCTGATTTATGCACACAATGGCATATTTAACATGCTTTAATGACTGAAATTCATTATATTATGCATGTTGCAAATTCTATAGCCTCAATAATCTTTGCTAATTTTGTGAGACATATGGTTATAAAATAACAATGTGACCCTGCGGTTGCTATTCTAAAATTATTTTTCTTTTCTCTCAGTTTTTTTTTTTTTCTTGCTTTGGTGCTAATCTGAACAGATAATGATTTAAAAGTATTCAGACTTTCACAAACAACTAGAAGAATGGCAACATTTCCACCTCACCTGGTCCAGGGCTCTGAATCACACTTGCATTACAAAGTAACCATTTTGACAACCATATTTATTTATGAGCATGTAGTTCTGAATTTTTTTATTTTCTTTCCCTTTGTAGCAACAGCTGTGGATGAAGAAATGTCTGTTTAGCATGCAAACTCCTGGAGAGTCTGTCATTTTGAACTAACTTTTCATAGATCCTAATACTGTGTCAAATTTTTAAGGTGACTGAATACTTTTTACTATTAGAGTGATAAAAATATAGAAACCAAACAACCCATTTCTTTCCTAGGATGTATGAGATAAAGAAATAATGTATAGGGTAACAGTGAACTTGGTACTTTATGCTAATGAATCCCTTTGTTTCTTAGAATGACACAAAGTGAAACAACTCTCCTAAATATCTCAGGAATCCTTCCTGTTACTCCTCCCCAGCCCTACATCAAACTACAGCTTCTCCAAATATAGATCCAGATATTTTTCTAGACTGATGTTTCTACTGAGGATCTGATAAGCTCAACAAGTCACCTCCCCAAGAATATGTGCATATGCAACACAAAACTTTGCACATAATTCTATGGTACCTGAAGCCTAATCATAAGTTCTCTTGCTTCCAGGTTAGCCAAAACTGTGTTGGCAATTATGCTTACATTTACTTTACCTTTTTTATGGAAATAGCTACTAAGTTGACTTCTGCAGAATCACCTCTTTTTCGCTCTTAAATCCTTGAATTCTGGGGAGGGACTGATCCAATCTCTTGCTCTGAGTGGCCATATGACCTAAGCTTGGACAATAGATGTATTTCCTCTGTTGGCCACAAGATCAGTTTAGCAATAGTCATGGGACTCAAACCATGTAAATGAGCCAGTGGAAAATTTGGGGAAATTTATGGGGAAAAACCTTTTAAAAATGTTTTGATCTGTAAGCAGTATGAATAACATACATCTGGACATGCATGCTGGCAATTGCTATTTAGACTTTAAGATTAAAGCAAGAGAGAGACAATAGGACAAAGCCAAGAAGAGAAAAGAAAGAAACTGAGGGAGAATGCCATCATTTGAGTCCCTAAATCCACAATGCCTAGAAAATATGATCACTTGGAACTTTTTATTAATAGCAGGCAAGCCTCTCTTTTTGTTCTTAAGCCAATTCAGTTTGGATTTCTGTGGCTTACAAACAAGAGTTCTGACCAAGGCACTCAGTCAGCTACTGGGGAAGAAGTGTGATTACATACCAAGGGAAGGAATCCAACTTCTTTGTCTTGGCAAGAAACTTGACTTGGAAAAAATTAGTGGATTTTCCTTTCCAAATAGAAATGTAGTGCAATTCTAAACGGAAAAGAAACACCTAAATGGAAGATAGCTTTGACTCTTTAAGCTTGAAGGAGAACATGAAGTTCAATATATATTAATTGATTTATATAGCCATATTTAAAATCATTAATCTTCAGATTTCAGAATCTATGTGGATAAGTAAAAATGAAAAATGACGGTCATTTTATGGCTCTTAATCCTATTTTTCATTTTAAAAATATGAATATGATGATTAAATTTCTACCCAACTACTTACAATATATAAAAATGTCCCCGGATCAGTGTAAGTTGAAGCTGATATTATGAGTCCCTTTGAAAAGTCAAGTGATCATACAGTTTCAAGCCTCATTTTTATGCCTAAAATGTCATGGCAACAGGTATCACAAAGAGGAATGTCCAACCATATTATTAAACTGTCAGGTCACGACACCACTGAAGCTGGGGTGTGGTGCAGGATCAGACGCAGGACAATCAAATTGGCAAGTAAAGAAAGAAACCACAATTATGGCTCAGATACAAGGTGGAAATCAAGCTCTAAAATGGCAGAAGTTTCCGACATAAGTCACTCTACAGTAAAAAGGAAAATAGTAACAGTATACATAGAGGATGAGACTATGAACTTTAGTTTCAGATAAACTTGGACTCAGTCTCTAGCTTTGCCATTTATGAAATCCGAAGTTTATGACTTCTCCAAGTTCCTTAGCATTTCTAAGCCTCGATTTCCCCATCTGTAAAATGGAGAAAATAGAACCCACATCATGAAGTTGTGAGAATTAAATCAACTACTGCCTACTGTGTTATTATGTGAGCCTTAGAACCATGAGGTAATGTACACAAAGTGCTTAGCAAAGTCCTGAGCCACAGTTAGCACTCGGTGAACAGTAACTGCTCTTTTTATGATAATCATCACTATAATCATTCTAATCGAGCCAATCCATTAGACTCTCATTCATGACCAGTCCAATTCTTTCAGTAAAGGTCATTATGCTTCCCGCATAACTAGAAGTAATATATTGGTTTTTATTCATGTACTTGTAACCCAGACACACAGTGCATGAGCAGACTAGCAAGTTGTTCAGCAGATATAACAATGCTTATAAACAAGCTTTTGTAGTCAAAACCCGAGTATTTATGCTGACTTTCACTTCGTATGTGAATTTCATCTGAAGCTGTTTTAAATGACAGCGATTTCTGTGTGTCTGCTGTTCAGGTTTCTCCTTATATTTTAAGATTCTACTTCTTTAGCCTTGTCATGGCAATGTAAAAGAATTTAGCCAAAGACGGGATTGAGAAATAGAAAAGGTGTGTTCTGGAGCGCCTACTATTAAATGCAATTCTAAAAAGTGATAATTTATTTGAGGTTCTTTTAAGGGATCACTTTAAAATATGCCATTTCCATTCACAATTCAATCCTAACAGCCCTGTGAAAATTTGAAAATAATAGTTCTGATTTCAAAATAGTGAATTTAAAGATAGAATATAAAAGCCAAACATTACCATTATGATTACTTACCATATCATCAACCTTAAAATTGAACAAATGAAAGATTTTGGTAGTGAAAGTGGTAATTCCATCTAAAACAAAGTGAAATATTTTGATCTGTAATTTCAAAGGCATTGAAAGAAACAAAGTTTATTTTTTTATTCTTTTAAATAAATGAAGATCTTTATTTGAAAATTAATGCTAAAATTGAATTAAATGGTGCTTCTTAAACATATAGAAAACTTCTGGGGAAATTACTTAGATTAGAATGATGTTATGACCCTGATACAAACTGGTAGGAAATTATACAAAGGTTTAGTTTGTTTAGAAATGTGTTGTCATTGGCATCTGTACTGTGATAAAATTCCAGATGTTTCTTGTTCTTGACTTTTTATTTTAGACATATGTTCTTACATATTATAATTAATTCGCTGACATAAAATAATTAGTTCTTTAATTAGATTATCTTGTTGTAAACTTTAGGTTACATGTAAAGCATTTTGGAAGAATGTAGTGTTTTAGGAAGCATTATTACAATTATGCAAAGTAGAAGGACAGATTTGAGAGTATGTTCTCAAAGATAGTTTATACCATTACATCCCAAATATTCTAAGCTTGTTGTCTCATGTTAAAACAGATAGTCCTTATGTCATTGCTGTGATGTTTTCAAAATAAAATATTTTATCAAGTATTAGAGATGTTACAGTTTTTTATTTGTTCTGC